GTTATAATCAGTTTAAAACAGAGATCAGTTCACCTGGAGAAAATGGCCGCTTTGGAAGGAGGACTCTACGGGCATTATGCCTCAAGCCCCGCCCCCTCAGGCTCCACCCCAAAGACCTGCAAGTTCTTTCCCCGCCCGGAGCTGGCAACCCTAGGTAAGGATGTGTTCTAGAAGGCTTTGTGGCTCTCAAACCTACACATCATGTGTTTGAAACAGCCGTGTCTCTAGCTGATATGACAGCACTTTTCATCAACCAAATACCTGGCCAGATTTTTTTAGAAAACCAAAAACTCTCCCACCCCTGTTGTTTTTCAAAGAAGCAGAAGACACTTGTGTTTCGAAGGAGTTTTAGATTGCACATTCAGTTCTCAACATTTGTTAACATTTCTTTTTTTCTTTTTGCAACAAGCCTCTTACCGCCCACCGCCAAGTGCCATCCTAGAGAATACCCTCTGGTCACCGAGTTGGCCAGAGAAGGTTAAGCAGCCCGATCGATGGCTCTTAACCCAAAGTACCCCCGTTGTCCCCTTGTGGGCAGGAACTGTATCCTCCAGACTTTGCCTAAATAACTTCATCTTACCTGGTGCCTGGAAGTGCAAACTGGTGGGGGCTGGGTGACTCACCAAGGGGAAAAAGACCAGGGTTAAAATGCAAGTTACACAGGTCAGTTCAGAGGAGACGCTCTCCTTTCCGCTCGCGCTGTGTTTCACACCAAGTTAAAAAAAATGCTAAAGGTTCTGTTAACATGCGAATTGGCAGGGAAAGCTTCAAAGGAGAAGTAATTGTTTCGTGCTCGAAGAGACAACCGGGGCTTTCACATTTGTCACGAAGCCCGCTGAGCTGACAACATCACCTCTAATGAGTACGACACGCGAGCTTCAACACTCACACATGCGCAACCAGGCAGACATGGCACACTCCATTTGGGCATCTCTCTGGCCTACACGTACGCCAGGGCACCACCAGAGTCTCACATGGAGGCCAGCCCCTGGCACACACTGCTCATGAGGCATCCTGACCCAACTTTCAGCCCAAATAAATAAATAGCGAGAAGAATAGAGGGAGAAAAAAAATGATCCAGCCCTCTTCTGAGGACTCAAGTTGGCCAACGGTTACAGAAGATCGTTCTCATGGCTAATGTCACTGATGGAGCCTCCACGCGCCATCGCTGTATTTATGCCGGACCTCTAGTCCTCAGAAGGAAACCGGGTCTCGTGGTGGGATGGCCATCGCCCCCTCTTGTGGCAGTGAGTTCCATCAGCTAACGATGCATTATATGAAAAAGCACTCCCCGCTCGCTCTAACTGCAGTTTTGTAGGATGACACCCAGGTTCTAGGATAAAGGGTGAAGGAGGAAAAGCTCAGTTTCTCCCTCCCCCCCCCAAATAATCCCTCTAAGCCGTGGAGTCTTGTGAGCAAAAATTGTACTTTGTGAGCTACTGGCATGAAAGTTGCGAACGAGCGATTTGGCGACTGGATCAATTAGTTTGCTCTGGAGCCATCCTTCCTGAGCTAAGGCAAAAATGTGTACACCGGAGGCGGAAAAAACTGTGAACTAGCTCACACTAACTCAGCTTAGAGGGAACACTGCCCCCCACGCACACTTTGTCACACTGGGCACAATTCATGAAAAGAGCTTGATTTCTGGATGTACATGTGCGCTCTCTCTCTCTCTCTCTATCCCAGGGCCGGTTCCAGATTTTGGGGGCCTTGGGTGGAGAATGCCCAGGGCGCTCCCCTCTCCTCTGCCTACCATGGGGTTGCCAGCCTCCAGGTGGGGCCTGGGGATCTCCCGCTTTTACAACTGACCTCCAGCCGACAGAGATCAGCTCCCCTGGAGAAAATGGCTGCTTCGGAGGGTGGACTCTGTGGCCTTGTACCCTGCTGAGGCCCTTCCCCTCCCCAAACCCCGCCCTCTCCTGGATCCACCCCCAAAGTCTCCAGGTCTTTTCCACCCCAGACCTGGCAACCCTAGGTCCCCCCTCATGCCAGGGCCCTCCCTTCTCCTCTGCCTACCACCAGGCCCCCCTCTCATGCCTCCCATCGTACCCACGACCACCTTGCTTGTGCATCCTTCTTGTGCCCATTCATGAGCTCTGCCGCCACCGACACCTACAGATGCTCGCTGGGGAGGTGCACAGTCAATGACAGTCGCCCCTGCCTGAATCCCTTAGCCCTGGCAGCTGCCCGACTTCTGGGTACGTCGATGCCAGCCCTGCTCTCTCACACAATCTTTCGCTAAGAGAGTCGTGGGTCGTAAGCTTTCTCCTATCCCCAGACGCCGTCTTGCCTCTGCAATGAGGAGCGGGTGGTCTGAGCGTGCTCAGTGTCCCCCGCTGCCAGCCTGAGAAAAAGCACGTGCGCGGCTCCCCTCCCCCATTTTATTAGATATCTGGGTGAACAGCTGCAGGACGCCGTGTGCCAATTCTGGCATGCTACATTTTTTTTTTTGCTCTGTGTTTGTGGGGAAATATATGGAAGCCCCCAAAAGGACGTCAAGGAAGTCTTCATAGGAACTTGCTTGAGATCGCGGGGCCCCAGCGTGGTGCCTGAGTGCCCGCCGACACCTTTCCTGGCGCCCACCAAGTACTCCTTTGGCAGCACAGCACAAAGATCTGCCCTGTGTTACCGAAGTCAAGCTGTGGCAATCGTTTTGTGGCTGGGTCCCCCCCCTGCGGCAGCCATTTTGCAGCAGCCATTTTGTGGCTGCGCCCACCGTGCCATGTCAGAATTCGAAATCTGCCCCCAGGCTCAGAAGGGTTGGGGACCCCTGCTTCAGACTAAGGCAATGTTCACCCCGCTCAAACGCTATCTTTCTTTCTGAGCCCGGGTCCCCTTAATGGTGAGAACACCTCCCCCAGCTCTGCTTTCATCTCAAGTTTCTAGCCCTCATTGAGAAAAGCCTGAAAACCACAGGTGGGAGTTGTGTCATTAGAAGAAGGGGGGAAAAGCCAAGAGCAAAAGCAACCCAATGGGACTGCCCTTTAAAAAAAATAATTCAAAACAATCCTTATGATTTTGGATAACACCATCAACCCTCATGAGATTCGGGGTCAATTCGCACAGTGGCTCCTGATCACGGCTTGGGGGTTTGTTTTGCCTTCTCCCCCAATACGGTATGAAAAATCGCCACTTCTGATTCTAGTTTCAGAGAGTGGCCGTGTTGATCTGCAGCAGAACAGCTAGATTTGAGTCCACTAGCCCCTTCGGGACCAGCAAGACTCTCATGGTACAAATTTTGGAGAGTCAAAGCTTAGGGCTTTGACATTCGAAAGTTCGTACCAGGGAAATCTTGTTGGTCTATAGTGCTACTGCACTTGAATCTAGCTATACTTCTGACTCTCAGACTCGTTGGATCGAGGCAGATTAAACAGCCTGGCCTACTGGGATTATTTGATGGGTCTGTCGAATGGCTGCACTGACCACTGCTCTGCCACATGGTCTTCTTAGCAGCGAAGAGTAGATGGGGTGTGACTCAGGAGCTCTCCCCCAGTCTGAAAACCCTGCTTGTTTCAGGGGAGGGTGCCATTCTCAACAGTCCAGAACACTCTCTCGAAGGGTGGCTCCGCCTGGCACCCCTCCCTGTCAGGCCTCGATCCGCCTCTAGGCCAAGGAAGACACAGGAGGGTAGAAACCCTTTTGCACTGAGATACGGTGGCTGTAAACCGAGAGGCGTCCTGGGGAATGGGGCCTCTCCTTAGCCTGCCCCTTTAAGCACCTGTGACCCCCCCATCCTCATAGTGGGGAAGTGTGCCAGGGCTTCTGGGGTGGCACCAATGCGAGCTTTTTATTTATTTTTGTGCCCTGGGTTTGGGTAGGGACCGGGACCGGGACCGGGTAGCTGGCACCCCTTGGTACACTGACGCACAACAACTTTCTCCTCTCAAACAAAGAGACTCAACGGGGTCAACAAAACCATTTCGAAGGATAAAATCAGCTAGGTCTCCCTGTATCTTCGGCTCCCCGCTAACTGACGTCAAGAAGTCCAGAGGGTGGCTCAGTTGGGTATTTGTGGGGTGTCCAAGATTGTTAAAGCATTTGCTGCCCTCGTTTCCTTTGGGGGGGCGGACACCCAAGAAGGTCACAGGGAGCGTCAGGGGATTTTCACTTTTACATGCCCCCACAGCTTCCCGGTTTAGGAGTCCCACTGAGGATCCTGTGTCCGAAATCTTGACGACGGCTTGTTAACTATCCCAATTTCGGCCTGCTGTTCCAGACTCGGCCTCCCAGCCTTCACTGAAAGCCAACCTGTCTTGTCTGGTTTTCCCTGTCTCCCTATTTCTCCTGCTATGGTGTGGGGTGTCCAAGATTGTTAAAGCATTCGCTGCCCTCGTTTCCTTTGGGGGGGCACCCAAAAAGATCTCAGGGAGCATCAGGGGATTTTCATTTTTACATGCCCCCACATCTTCCAGGTTTAGGAGTCCCACTGAGGATCCTGTGCCCGAAATCTTGACGACGGCTTGTTAACTATCCCAATTTCGGCCTGCTGTTCCAGACTCGGTCTCCCAGCCTTCACTGAAAGCCAACCTGTCTTGTCTGGTTCCAAAACTGTAGGCGGACCCAGTGGCTACCTGGTTTTCCCTGTCTCCCTATTTCTCCAGCTATGGTGGGACAAATTTAAAAATCCCCAATTTGGAAAGGGGGAGCCCCGGTCTCATCAACGGGACGTCCCTCCCCCTCTTCTGTCATGCAAGCTGATTTGATCCTTGATTCAAAAACCCAAAATCAGAACGACTCCAAATGAAAGCAGAGGTTACACCAACCAAATCCTCTAATCCCCCACACCACCCTCCCACTAGCAAGACATTCCAAACAAAACGAGAACAGAGTTAGAAAAAAAGAAAATAGAAGTCAAAAACAGAGCACGCCATTCAAAAGAAAAATAACCTCCAAAAGGAGCCGGAAGGAAGGAAGGAAGGAAAGAAGGAGGGAAGGAAGGAAGGAGGGAAGGAAGGAAGGAAGGAAGGAAGGAAGGAAGGAAGGAAAGAAGGAAGGAAGGAAGGAAAGAAAGAAGGAAGGAAGGAAGGAAAGAAGGAAAGTTTCACTCACTCTCCAGTTCTGTTTGTATAGTGCGAGTATGGCAGCCGCAGATATGTAGGTACAAGCAAGCGGGAACAGGGGTTTTTCAGGGGTTCTCAATGTCCAGGTTTTTTTCATTTAGTAACAATGTTTTATACAAGTTCAAAGAAGCACTGTGAGCCAAGCCGATCTCTCTTTCTCTTTCGCCGTCCGCCGCCACTCTCGGTCCCCACCATCGTCCCTCTATCTGTCCGTCCGTCCATCCTTCCTTGGACGCGAGAGAAATTCCATTGACGTATCGGTTGGGTGGGTTCCGTTTGTCGTTCAGTTGAGGTCGGGTCCGATTTGCCACTTGCCCCCCCTGCTGCCCTGCTGCACACCCCTCCCTCCCCGCTTAGATGAAATACTCCTTCTTGTCATCGCCACCGGTCTGACCTCCCTCCGCATTGATGATGGCTGTATCGGCGTCGGGGGCGTCATCCGAACCTTTGGCCTCGTGGGTCAGGTAGGTACCTGGTGTTAGGGAAGGCAGGAGGAAAGGAATGACACAGTACCACTCAGTCGGTAGGAAAACTGGGAAATAGGTACACGGATTTCTACAAAATGCAATAATCACAGTCGTAATTGTTAAAGATCCATCAAGTTTGATGGGTAGGAAAGACCAAGAGATAGAGGTGTTGGGAATTCTTTCCTAGGTTTCTATCCTTCATTAAATTCACTTGCTTGGGAAGAGGAGGTCCAAATCCTATCCCTGTTCCCCAGTTTAAGTTCTCCCGCATACGCCAATGTTCCTGCTATTGGGAATCCAGCTGAGCTGCCAAGAAGAAGAAGAAGAAGAAGAAGAAGAGATTGGATTTATACCCCGCCCTTCACTCGGAGTCTCAGAGCGGCTTACAGACTCCTTTCCCTCCCCCTCCCCACCACAGATACCCTGTGAGGTAGGTGGGGCTGAGAGAGCTCTGACAGAAACTGCTCTTTTTAAAGAACAGCTCTTATCAGAACTATGGCTTGCCCAAGGTCATCCAGCCAGGTGCAAGTGGAGGAGTGGGGAATCAAACCCGGTTCTCCCAGATTGGAGTCCGCGCACTTAACCACTACACCAAACTGGCTCTCCAACACCAACGACCCATGCATATTATACCTCGTTTCGTATAACTTTATCAAAGTGGGTAGCGTTGAAATACCTATATAATATTAATCCATTTGGCAAACTATTCATATCCCATAATAACACTCATCAGATCCTCCAGGTGGGGCCTGGAGATCTCCCGC